AATTTTTTTTTTTTGCACATCCCTACTGTGAACATGGGTCTGGGGGAGGATAATGAGCCTCATTAGGGTTGGCATATCTGTATTCCCTGTGACAAGTGTGCCGTTTGGCATATGCAGGGCCTTTGCTTATACTGTGGTGTGCCCAACTGAGGGGCCACAAACGACTTTGTCGTTTGCTTATTTTTCTTGATCAAGGTCAAAGTCTGGTCACTCTTGGGGGAAAATAATGTAGAACCTTCAAAAGGTAGGTCCTCTATCTTCTGCTTTGTTTCATTAGGTAATGCTGTGCATCTCAACCACGCGGGTTGTCGCAGGACTATGGAGCTTTGCCATGGCACGAGCCGCAGCAGCTACAGGATGTGTCTCCCTGTTTTAATCTGCTGCTTAGACCAGGGGTGTCGGATTTGACAATGAGACCTTGTTGGGCCGGGCCATGTATGTCATAAAATGTAACGCCAGGTAGTGGAGATATAAACTTTGTAAAGGACACAAACACAAAGGGCACTTTTTAAAAACTAAAAATAAAAACACACTTCAAATATTAGCTCTGTAAGCTGCAAAGCCACTTTTGATTTATTGACATTCACCACAGAAATCTCATGCTCAAAGTTCTGAGTCTAGGACCCAGGTTAAAACATGAAATGGCTGAGTGATTAAGAGAGTCTGGCAAAGCAAGTGATGATGCAGCAGCAGCAGCAGCAGCAGCAGCAGAACTGGAGGCAGGAGGTGGCCGGTTCCACTGCGGGCCTGATGGAAGCCCTCTGGGGGCCTGATCTGGTCCCCGGGCAGCATGTTTGACACCCCTGGCTTAGACAATCTGATGGCTTTGGTCTATAATACCTTAGCCAGCTGATGTTTTTCTTCTGGTAGGAGCTCTGTGAAGGGCAGCATACAATCCCATAGGAACAACTAACCAGCCATAATGACCCAAAGCAGAAGATAAATACAATTTATCCCTAAAATGTCCAGTTTGCATCCTTCCCCGTCACTGGGTGCTGAGTGGAATGCCTGTTGACCTTTGCGTTGCATTTCCTCTGTGAAGAGGGATGATGGAAGGGTGAGTGTAGTCAAACAGTTGAATGGTTCTTTTGGAAGTGGCCTGTAATGAAGCTGGTCTCTGCCAAACCTCTTGAGTGATGTCGTCCAGGCCCTCCAGTACTGGGAAGGTGATCATGCCGGGTGAATCGGAGTACAATTTACTCAAAATTTTATCTTTTGACTTGTACTCCAAAGTCATTATCTCGATTTTGAGTGACTGAGCCATGCAAGTCATCTGCTCACTATACACGCGTAAATCCTCAGTCGGGGACGCAGATGACTGATCCTCTACCCTTTCATCCGCGCTCGGGTCCGAAGCTGACCTGTTGGATTCAACTGGTACCTCGTCCTCCCTTCTGTCAACTATGGGAGATGGAGGCCTGCAGGAAGCTGCTGTTGATGGCGGTTAGGAGTATGGCGCTCGGATCAATAGGTCTGTGAAAGGAGTCTCTCCATTCTTCTGCATAACAGAGGAACATCCCGTACGGATTTGAGGGCCACCTCAGAGGTGGGATGGGAATGTCCCCATGGAACCGTTTGTTCGGATTTGATGTCGTGCTGCCCTTGTCCAATGGGAAGATCTGCGTCTATTTCCCCCTCAGAACTGGAGATCAGGGGCGATCTTCAGATCGGCGATGGCGTTCTGTGTCTGTCCCACATCACCTGCATTGGTTCCGGGGCACGAGCTGGTTGGGCAGGGCCTTTTTGTTTTTCTTCAGTTTGTCCTTCACCTTCTTAGTTGGTGGCTCAGGTGAGTGTGAACTTCCTGTGCCTCAGGTGAGTGTGAACCCAAACGGATCCTTTGGGATTTGGATTTGGATGGCAGCGCTGAGCACGTCAACTCCGAATTTTCTGCAGCCAGTTTGGATGGAGGCTGAGAGGCCTTGAGTGCCTTTCCCCACAATGCTGCCTTTAATTTGGATGCTCTGTCCCCTTTAGGTTTGGGGGGGGAGCGGAGGCAGGCCTTACATGGGGACGTATTATGTCCTTCACCCAGACAAAATAAGCAAAGTTCGTGGTCATCAATCTGGGTCCTCAGCACTACAAGAAGTGCATTTTTTAAAAGAGGGCTTTCTGAGCCATCGGGACTCAGAAGCGACCGTTCAGCAATAGACACTTCCTCAGCACTATGAAGCAAGAGACTCTCCAAACTCCAACCTTCTCCTTTGGCAGCAAAAGTACTGAGGGTAGGGGCGCATTTGTCTCTGGACGGGATCAAAGACCTCTGCTATGGCACACAGGGTCCCCCCGAGGCTTTTAGCTAGAAAAACCTCACCAATGGCTGGCCTGCGCATGCACAGTCCCCATGTGGGACTGCACAGAAGGTTGATGATGAAATCAGAGATATTTTCCTATCACGTAACAGTTACTGCAGATAGCGTGAAATATCGTTCTAAGGGGAGCCGGGGGGGGGGGATACAAAATGGGGCGGTAGTTTCAGCAGCAGTATGTATAACGCATAAAGTATGATCTGCATGATTTAAAAAAAATTATATTCAGCTGTTTTCAACTGAGAAGCATAATTGTTCCACAGACTGCCACAGATCACGACAGCTCTTTCAAGATCGCACACACCAAGGTAACTTGTTTCAAGGCGGGAGGGTTAGCTGCGCAGGATTTGTGCTCATGAACACCTTCTAGTAGTCTTACACACTTCCTGTGTGTGTGCATGGCTGTGCAGGTGTGGGAGGAAAACAAACTTTTCCGGAGGTGTCTCTCTGTGCAGGAGCTACATCCGCACAGTAACTGCATTACACCAAATACATGTCAATTTTAAACATTTATAGTAAGAACATAAGAACATAAGAGAAGCCAACGTTGGATCAGGCCAAAGGCCCATCCAGTCCAACACTCTGTCACACAGTGGCCAAAAATGCCATCAGGAGGTCCACCAGTGGGGCCAGGACATTAGAAGCCCTCTCACTGTTGAAACCCCCCCCCCAAGCACCAAGAATACAGAGCATCACCTGCCCCAACCTGTGAGTTCCTATCTATACCTTGTGGCTAATAGTCAAGGGTGGACTTCTGTTCACAGTTCACCTGTGTACTTACATCAGCTGTAATGTCATTGAATTTTGTTATAAAGGCATGTTTCACAATGTCCACTGCAATTTCTGAAGCAATCACCATACAAACATCTGGAAATAATACCCAAAGATGGTCTGTAAAGACAAAAAAAAATTATGTACATACTTAATATGGTAAAAAAGCAATAACGGAAAAACATAAGCTCCACTGGCACCACAGCAAAATCCCAGATGTTGTATAGGTCATACGTAATGGAAATATTGAGGAGGAAACTGCACATTTCCCCACAACAAACAAGCGATTTCATATGATCAAAAGGGTCCAGACAGTCCCCACACCAAAATGGCTTTCTACTGTCTTTTGAGAAAACATACTCCACATAAAGGACATTATTATTAATAAGACAACATGAAACTCCTGTCAACTTTGACATCTAGACCATGTGTATAAATAAACAGCAAAAATAAAAACACACAGGAGCAGCTGTTTCCCCAATGCTGCAGGATGTAAATTCTGTGCAGATGTTTAATGCACATATATAAATTGAACAAAGCTTGAGTCCGGTAGCACCTTTAAGACCAACAAAGTTTAATTTTGGGTATAAGCCCTCGTGGGCATGCACATGAAACCTTATACCCCAAATTAAACTTTGTTGGTCTTAAAGGTGCTACCAGACTCAGGCTTTGTTCTGTTACTTGAGACCAACACGGTGACTCCAACTGCACCTATATATAAACTGGTCAGTTTTGCCTGCTGGCCCCACTTCCGTTCCCCACATCTCTCAGCCCCATCCACGCTGTGGGCGCCACGGTGCCTGACACCTTTCCGGACCCTCACCTAGAGTTTTTAGAAAGTGGCAGCTGCCCCTACAGTGCTGATCTTATTCCCTCACTCCTCTTTCCCAGGGTATTTAAAAAAAAGACTCCTCTTGTCCCCCTTGCACTTGTGCTTCTTCTGTGTGCCTGGCTCCAGGTCCAATGGCAGCCATTTTGTGGCTACGCCCACCATCCCATCTCACAATTTCAAAGCTGTCCACAAAAAGTTTGGCGTCCCCTGACCTAGACAAACACCTCCAAACACAATGAGGTCTGACCATGTAATCTGCACCTTGCAGAAACCAAAGGTACAAATTGCACAGAGGGTTCTGTTGCATAGTTTGCACCCTGAACCCATGGAGGCATGATCCTACCGCCTTTCCCCCTTGCACCCTATACAGGGCTGGGGGTGGGTGGGAAATGTAGAGCCTCCATCCGACTTATCCCTTCTTCACACTAAGTTGCACTCACTGCTTTCTGTCTGTCTGCTCTAAAACAAGGGTCTGCCATGATTGAGTCTAGGTCAACAGTCAGTGAAGGAATCAAGCCACTATGCTAGAAACAAGATCACTCAAAAGTGCTTCACTGGGATTACACGACCACTGCAACATCAGCTTCTATACCACTGGATGAGTCTCCTGTCTGCTATCATACTCCAAACAAACATTTTTCTGATTCGAATGAAGAGCAAAAACGGTATGCAGACACCCTGATATAACAGACTGGGCATCCTCTAACAGACAAAGAAATTGTAACAGACCTTAGTCGATCGGTGTGCCACGTCATACAAGATGCATTTATCCAGCATGCTTCCACGTACATTCAAGCAGATTATTTACAACATAATCCAAACACGACTCAAACATTGGGTAGAACTCTCACCACCAGGTCTGGTGACACAGGAGGGACATATACTAAAATAATTAATATGGTTCCAACATCGAAAAATGTACAGTCACAAGATTTGTGTGCTTCTGGCAGTGACTACAAAACAATCACATTTGCAGCTTTCCATTTCTGTATTTGTTGTGTGGCAGCAGAAATTACCTGGATTCCATGAAAACTGCTCCATGTTCCTTAGACACACTATCAGTAACAGGACATAGTTGGTGAATCGCTCCTTGATATCTGAAAAGAATAAACAGATCATATATCTGCACACAAATATTGATTTGCCCGGTGGCCTATTATACCGAAGGCCCGCTAGACAAGCAGACAGAAGTTAACATCAACAATAAGAGAGGGAAAGCCCAAAGCTGTGTATAGATGTGTATGTCTTTGAAATATGGTGCACATGATGGCTTGATCACAGCGCTTCGATACACTCTGCAGACTTTCATAAGAATTGTTTTTTACAAAGATTGCTGATTTGTTAGCTGTATACAGCCTCACTCTGCAAATGTTAACGATGATTCTTGCAGTCTGAAGTTCTACATCGGTCCTATTCAGAAGAAGACTCACAAAACGAATACTTTATCTGGAAATTTAGTCAATCTATTGTTTTGGACCATTGTTTTGGACTTTATTTATTTTCAGATTTATACCCCGCCCTCCCCTCAAAGCAGGCTCAGGGCGGCTTCCAATGACATAAATACATGATAAAAACATACATAATACAAATTAAAACATAACAGTTAAAATTAATACATTACAAAGTGCTGGTGGCAGTTAAAATTCAATCAGAAGGAATGCTTTCAGATGGATTTCCAGCTCCCAGCATAGAAGTGCTTAGATGTTATTCTGCTCGTCAACTCTTATGGCAGCTGCTCAATGATGACTTTGCGGGCCGTGCACTATGGCGGTGGCCCCTAATTATATGCCTGGCGGAAGAGCTCCGTCTTGCAGGCCCTGCGGAACTGCGAAAGGTCCCGCAGGGCTCTGATCTCCTCGGGGAGCTTGTTCCATCAGGTAGGGGCTGCCACCGAAAAGGCCCCGGCCATAGTAGCAGCTAGCCTGGCCTCCCTCGGGCCAGGGAGGGTCAACCGATTTTGAGACCCAGACCGTAGTGCTCTCAGGGTATATACGGGGAAAGGTGGTCCCGTAGGTATGTTGAACCCCAGCCATATAGGGCTTTAGAGGTAAGAACCAGCACCTTGAAGCGGACTCGGTATGCTATTGGCAGCCAGTGTAGTGTCCTCAGCACAGGCTGGATGTGCTCCCATCTAGGGAGACCCATCGACAGCCTGGCCGTGGCGTTCTGCACTAGCTGTAGCTTCCGGATCCGCGACAAAGGCAGCCCCATGTAGAGAGCATTACAGTAGTCTAGTCTCGAGGTGACCATCGCGTGGATCACTGTAGCCAGGTCAGCGCAGTTGAGGAAGGGAACCAACTGCCTAATCAGCTTAAGATGATAAAAGGCCAACTTGGCAGTGGCTGCTACCTGGGCCTCCATGGTAAGGGAGGGATCCAGGAGCACTCCCAAACTCCGAACCTCCAGCACTGGGACAAGTAAAGCCCCCCCCCAAAGGTTGGGGGTGGGACCCCCACCCCCAAACCACCCCAACCTAGGCACAGGACCTCCGTCTTCGCTGGATTCAGTTTCAGCCGACTTAGTCTGAGCCACCCAGCCAGGGCCTGCAAAGCCGTGCTATATAGTACTTTATATAGTACTTTGTACCTTACATTGGGGGGGCTGCGGTGGCTCAAGTGGTTAAGACACTGAACTGCAGACTGGAAGGTTGGTAGTTCAGCAGTTTGAGACCCGAGTGCCGCATGACGGAGTGAGCTCCTGTTTCTGGCCCCAGCTCCTGCCAACCTAGCAGTTCGAAAGCAAGGAATTGCAAGTAGATAAATAGGTACCACTTCGGTGGGAAGGGAACAGTGTTCCATGCGCCTTGGCGTCTAGTCATGCCGGCCACATGACCACTGAAATGTTTTTGGACAGCGCTGGCTCTTCAGCTTGGAAACGGAGATGAGCACCACATCCCTAGAGTCAGATTCGACTGGCTTTTGAGCAAGGGAAACCTTTACCTTACATTGATTCATATTGCATTGTTATTGTCATATATTACACTATTTGGACACAAGTAATGAGTAATTGTTTACTTTAGCGTCTATACAGTTTTGTGTCTTCTCTTTCTTATTGCTTATCTGCGGCTGTGGTTCTCTGTTTTTTTGTTTTGTTTTTTAGAACATCAAGCCAGTTTCCAAGATGTTGTTTCATTGTTAGCTGTGGGGACAGGAAGACATTATCTCTTTCGCCACTGCTGAGTTTCCTGTTTCATTTTGAAACAAAACCGCAGCAGGTTTAATGTAAAGGGTAATGTACCAGATAATCTTAAATGTGCAGAAGCGAGTCTCGCTGGACTACTGGGACCTGCCTGTGTAATCTATGGTGCAAGGCCATCAAGTGGTCTGCTGGTGTGACCCTCCCCTTCCTGCCCTGCATACCACACGCAGGCTACCAAGCCCTGGCAAACCCTAACTGTAACCGGCTTCCTCTCTCTCTTTGACACGGAATCCTGGGAACTTGCCTAGTGTCTCACTGCCCTTTGCAGTCTGCACATTTTACAGCTGCTTAGAGCAGCTGTAAAACTTCTCACCCAGGCTGCTCCAGCCTCCGGGCTCTATAGCATCTCATTTGCAGACACTCCTGGAGTGGTCCAGGACTCAGCTGGCTTTGCACAGACGGGGTGGCCAGGGAAAGAAAGTCACATCAGCACAGTGAATAATGTCCTGGCTCAGGCTCTTCAAATACGTGTGACTTCTGCCTACATACATGTTCATACCTACACGATAACCTATGATAACGATAAGAAAATCATTTCAATCTGGCATCTTTCTGAACAGCCGTGACCTGGATAGCCCAGGCAAGCCTGATCCCATCAAATCTCAGAAGTTAAGTAGGGCCAACCCTGGTTAATATTTGGATGGGAGACCACTGAGGAATACCAGGGTCTATACACACAGGGAGGCAATGGCAAACCACCTCAGAACGTCTCCTGCCTTGAACACCCTACAGGTTTGCTATAAGTCGGCTACGAATGGATGGCACTTCCCACCACCACCACCACCACCACCACCACCACCACCACCACCACCACCACCACCACCTTTCTTTACAAAGGAATTCAGAACTCAAGCTGGAGGTCAGCAGAGCTTAGGATAAGAAATGCAATAGAATGAAAATGAGATTCAACTTGGGCCCAATACTTAATGCCTCTTGGGTTTATTACTAGAGTGATCAGGCTTAGATGAGCCTAACTATGAGGAGTGAAATAAAGAAGTAAGTAAAAATAAGGAATCAGCTGAAAAACACTTGGGCACTTTAACAGACAAAAAGAAAAAAAAATAGGGAACATGAAAAGAGTAATTTTCTCTCTCTCTCTCTCTCTCACACACACACACGTTTAAATATCAACTGGCCTGCTAAAACTACTTGTCAAACTGTCAAGGATGCAAAAATGAGAGATAAAGAAAAACTGTCACTTTTGTTTGTATCCTGCCACTTTCTCCAGCCTAAGGAAACTTCTCTCTCATGGAACAAAATCTGAGTCCAGGAGCACCTGAGAAACCAATGCAATTTCCTAGGGGACAAGCTTTTGTGAGCCAAAGTTCACTCTGTCAGATACTTATATCTGATCAAGAGAGCTTTGACTCACAAAAAGTTTATGCCTGGGAAAATTTTGTTCCTCTGTAAGGTGCTACTGGACCTTACGCCTTACAAAGTGTGCACACACCCTTCTTCAACTTAGACCCAGGACTAAACTTTGTTGGTCTAAAAAGTGCCACTGGACTCAAATTTTGTTCTGTTACTTCAGACCAACACAGCTACCCACCTGAATCTTCTTGGGATTTCTAAAACTATGAAATATATTCGCTAAACCTGGGATTTCCCACAGTCATACATGTTTTAACCAAGACTTGTGACTTCTAATTTACTACAGTTATTGAATATCTTGGTTAAACCTGTGACTCCCCCACCCTTTTACAGGCGCCAGCTAGTGCTGCTAAGCCAATGCATGTTGTTCTCTTGATTAGATTTAAATTTTACATGCCACTTTACACCCTGCACTTTCACTGACTAGATCTGAGTCTATATTGGTCCTTCTTCACCAGTTCCTGCTCACCCATTTACTGGATCTTACTTTATCTGTACCCCACCATGCACTGGATATAATGGGGTCTGACACATTCCTTCAACAGTTAATCTCTCTCTAAATTTGCAACCAGTTTTCTAAAAGAGTCCAGAACAACTGTCCATATTTTAGGCTTCTCCAGCTAGGCTTGCCAATGGCCTGAAGGAAAAACATCCTGTCCTTTTAAACAGAGGGTTAACAGGATGCCATTTTACCTGGTGATATTATTTACCTCTATGCCATGGAACAGGTTAGTTGCCCATTGCTACACATCAAGCCTCTCATCAAATAGGTAAGACATTTTCTCCAGGCCTGCTGGCAACCCTATTTTCAAGCTGTCGGCTTCATACATAACTTTAAATCACAATTTAATCAGTTGCACTGAGATTCCACACACACACCCAGCAACGTGGCACAAAAATAGCTATTTCACTGCCCACTTCTTCTAGTGGAAAAAACAGTGGAAAATATTTTTGCTGTTATCACTAACTGTACAAAACAGGTACTCCAGGGATGCCTGAGTTAGTAACATCTAAGTATCACTTATCAAAATGAATTCTGTCTTTAGGAAAGAGCGAGAAAAGTTACACAGCTGTTCTGTGGTTTCGTCATATACCAGCTACCAAGCTGAAATAAACTGGCTTCATCTGTTCTGTGTCTAGAATAACATATCAGAGAAGCCATGCTGGATCAGGCCAACGGCCCACCCAGTCCAACATTCTGTGTCACACAGTGGGCAAAAACCAGGTGCCATCAACAGGTCCACCAACGGGGCCAGAACTCCAGAAGCCCTCCCACTGTGGCCCCCCAAGCATCAAGAATACAGAGCATCACTGCCCCAGACAGTGTGTTCTATATATACCTTGTGGCTTATAGCCACTGATGGACCTCTGCTCCATATGTTTATCCAGTCCCCTCTTGAAGCTGTCTAAGCTTGTAGCCACCGCCACTTCCTGTGGCAGTTAATTCCACAAGTTAATTACTCTTTAGGTGAAGAAGTACTTCCTTTTATCTGTTCTAAACCTATCACTCATTAATTTCACTGAGCGCCCACAATGATTTTATTCTTCCTTGGAGATGGGAATATATTTCAGTCATGTTCTACACTATTAAGTTGTGAGAAGGACTGATGTCATTATTACTCTTGGCCGTAATTTATGGAGGTGAAATAATCAGCAATCCACAGCATCTAGTTTAAGAAAGAAGGGAGCAGTCCATCTTCAAAGTTCACAGAAATGTTTATTAGAACAGCAACAGACTTCTAGATATTTTTAACAGCATAATGCACTTAAAAAACAGTTCAAACATGAGTATGGTGAATTATTAAAGCTGTACACATCTACAGTATGGATCTATGGCTTTCATTTTTGGTAGTAATGTTCATGGGAGACAGTTTCCCCCTGATCTGATTCACTTCCAGTGACACTCCTACCACAGAACAATAATTCACAAGACGATCTGATGGGTCTTTCCAGGCGAGACCATATCCGGCCTGTGCTGCAAGCGCTGCACTGGCTGCCTATAGCATACCGGATTCGCTTCAAAGTGCTGGTACTTACCTTTAAAGCCCTGAATGGCCAGGGTCCTGCCTATCTAAGGGACCGTCTCTTCCCGTATGTTCCCCCAAGAGCACTGAGATCGGGGATGTTCCATCGGCTGGTAGTCCCAGCCCCCCGAGCAGCGAGGTTGGCCCATACAAGATCCAGGGCATTTTCGGTGGCGGCTCCTTCCTGGTGGAATGAGCTCCCGGAGGAGATCCGGGCCCTGCGGGACCTAGTGCAGTTCCGCAGGGCCTGCAAGACGGAGCTCTTCCACCAGGCCTTTGGATAGGAGCCGCCGCCACTACCATCATATACCACCTCGCCGCACCGTCCATCCACCAGACCCTATGAGACCCGATGAGGTCGATCAGTTGCTTAAGCTGGGACGCGTTTACCATCAAGATCACAAGAACAAGTCGCTGAGCATTTTGTAAATTGTATAGACTGCATAGATTTTAGCACCAATTTTACTGTATAAAAATCGTTTTTATTGTTTTAGTATTTATGATGTTGTTAGCCGCCCTGAGCTACTGGATAGGGCGGGATAAAAATCGCAAAATAAAATAAATAAATAAGCAGGAAGGAGCCCAGGAGAGAGGTCATGTTTGGGAGAAAGCAGGTATGACCAGGGGTTATTTTGTAGAAAAAGAGGTGCAGGAGCTCATTAGCATAACTTATTTACATATGCCACACCCCCTGACATCACTGGAAGTGTGTCAGAAGGCAACACCCACCGCTCAGGCTCCACTGGACTGTTTTGGATTGCTAGCTATTGGGGAGGGGGGGACGTGCAGATCTGTCCTCGCAAAGGAGGGAGAGCTTGTACCTGAGTAAAACTTGGTCTTAAAGGTGCCACTGGACTGTTTTGGACCAGGGGGCTGGGGGGGGGGGGCTCTGCAGCTTACCTGGCTGCTTCTTGCTCTGACTGAGGGCTGCTGGGAGCAGGGGTGGGGCTTGTTGCATGTGCCCGCCCCCTGGGCTCTTTACTGCCGGAGCTCCACCCCTGTGCACTTCTGCAGGAAATGACCCCTGGGTATGACGCCTCTAAAAGCCCGATTACTCAAATCGGTATGAATCTACAGATTAACAACGCCTACCCGGCATTTCTGCTGAATCCAAAGACTAAATCAGACGCAACAGATTAGCAGTAAGTAGGGCACAAATATACATACCACTATTTGACATCTGAAACAAATTATTCTTCTCAAACTTCTTGAAAACACTTCCTTTTATTTCAACAAACTGCAATTGAAAGAAAACAGCATACCTCAGATTTTTTTAAAAAAGATACATTTAAAATAGCCAAACTGTGTTTGACAACGTATAACAAAGTTGTCAAAACATAACTGTTTCTTAGAAAGGCAAAAGTGTAGACAGTAACATATCATAAAACTGAAGAGCAACTTACATTGTTAGACATCATGATAGTAAGAAGTGACTTATTGTGGGAGTTAAAAGCTACATTGAGTGTAGTTGCTTGGACCATTATAAGAATAGCATGCAAGACTGTGTTCAGATGAGTTAAGGAAAAAGGCTATTAAGGGGGGGGAAGTTTGCCACACGTATTCTCTTGTACTTTCAGATTCCCCCCCCCAACTCAAAAACACTTTCAGATTTCACCGTGTTATACCATTCAATTAAAGTTCACTGTCTGATTCCAGTTTTTCTGAGAGAAGATTCAACAATCAGTAATGGAACGCTACCACTGGTTCACATGGGTCATCACCAAATTGCTACCAAAACCACTATCAAGTACATTAGCTGTACGTTTCTTACATTTTACATAACAAGGTCTCATTCTGGCAGGGTAATTCAGGGCAATGTGGCATTTTCCTTGTCCCATTTCCTCTTATATTACTATTTCAAATTGGACATCATACAGTTATTTTATATGAACTGGCTATTTTTAAATAGCCCAATTCTGGCTCTGAAAAAAGATCTCTTTGTACAGCCCCAAAGAATACCTAATATGGTGGGAAGACAGGGGGAAAAACTAAAGGAACCGCTAAAAGAACTGCCAGTTTGGTATAGTGGTTAGGAGTGCAGACTCTAATCTGGGAGAACCAGGTTTGATTCCCCACTCCTCCACATGCAGCTGCTGGTGTGACCTTGGGTCAGTCACAAGTTCATTCAGAGCTGTTCTCTCATGAGCAGTTCTCTCAGAGCTCTCTCAGCCCCACCTACCTCACAGGTTGTCTGTTGTAGAGAGGGGAAGGGAAAGGACATTGTAAGCTGCTCTGAGACTTCTTCGGGTAGTGAAGGGCGGGGTATAAATCCAATCTCTTCTTCTTCTACTTCCCATACTGTTACCAACTAGCTAGCTGTCTGAGACTCACCACAACTATTGATCTTGCAAAGAAAATCCTTACAGCTTTTGCATCCAGTGAGATAAATAACACCAGGAAAGCTACCAAGATGAAAGCCACTGAAATAGCAGAAATAATGAAGAAATTATCCAACAATAAACACAGACAAGAGAATGTATGGGCTTCCCAGTCACCAAAACATGTGCTTTCTGGAGGGCAAACATTTTAGAGTCTACCTTCAGAACCATGTTAGGAAAGGCATTAACTAGAGTGAAGCAGGCATTGAGTCCTTATTCAGATCTGGTCAGATTAAAGCTTCGAAAAATAATAAAACCACAACTGGCAAGGATTCAGTTCTTATGCTGATAGTTTCATAGATCCTCAATCAGGCTCAGATCCTCAATCAGATATATATATCTTTAAAGAACTGACATTCACTTGGCACCATAATCACATTTGTGATGCAGAAGGATACAGACATAGAGCACAGCCATGAAAAAGTGGGGGATCACACCTATGTGCGCTCGCTTCCTCTCCTTTGGTTCTGTAGCTGTCCAATAAAGAGCATCCAAGATATCTTGCCCAAAAGATGAAAAAAGACGATCAGCTACCTAAAGAGAAAAGGAATTTTAATTTCGGAAAACTTTCTCTTACACATGACTTGTTTGACTTCAACACTGTATAAAAATTCATCCCAACAACACTCTGCGCTTTAAGGTGATCCATTTATAACTCAATAAAGATACAACAACAGTCTGTTAGGGTTATAAAATAAGGATTAGTGGTGACTAAGAAAATGCAATTATGTGTAATTTAAAGGTAAAAGGTGCTGGTAATAATATGGACGTTTCATTGTTTAAAGGTGTTGGGGTTCAACTGTGTTAGAATATTGTAATTAAGTTGTAATTAATTTTAATAAGAGTTTAGTATGATTTTGAGTGATACAGTGAACCTATAAGTTAAGATCAGTAGAAGGATTTCAATAAATTGGTAGATTAATCTAATTGGTGTTGATAAGGGAAAAATAATGAACTGATAGATTAGTGGAATGATTGTTAACACAGCAGGAGAGGTTAGAATATAGATGCTTAATTGTTTCTGTGTTTAAGTGTGTTAGAATATTGTAATGAAGCTCTAATTAACTTTAATAATAATTTAGTAGGATTTTGATGGACAGAGATAAATCTCGTGATAAACAAAGATAGATAAAGACTTAATAGACAATAACTGGAAGATATTGGTGCAAATAAGTGTAAAACCTCTATTTAAAGAATAGCAGAATTAACTTTTAAGTTAAGATCGAGATAATAGTTTCATTAAAATGACAAATTAATCTAAATGGTGTGGATGTTGATTGGAAATTTAGAATGATAACAAAAGATAAATATGTTAAAAACAAAAAAAAATCAACATTAAACCCTGTATCTACTAAAAACAATGAACAGGTAGATTATTGGAGAAATTTCAAAGTAACAGGATAATGGTGATTTTAAACAGTGCATTGTAAAAGGAATAAATCTGAACATTTTATACTACTAATATGAATTAAGTGCATAACGCAGAGAATGTAGTATTTAAATCTTAAAAGGAACAGAGATAGAAGTAGCTACTTAGAATCGACTTAAAGATTGAGTATAAGAGAAAAAAACTTCTGCTTGTCTTGTTTCTTTCTTCCTGTTGGGTCTAGCCTGTGTTGCTGAAAAGAAAAATGCTGTCCTAGGTTACTGTATGTATTGTTGTTGATGTTCTTGTTTTTATGTAATTATATAGGCTTCTATTATATTTAAAACCCAACAAACATATTTTTTTTAAAAAACCCAGCCAATTCAAAGGTATTTACAGTTTTTAATTACTACTACATTGGACACTGCCATGTTACATATTGTACTCAGATGATAAACTTAACTATATGTAACTTAAAGCCAGGGCTTTATATGTGAATCCAAGGAATTTTCCCCACTTCAATTGATCTGCTGAGGAATATCTACCATGAAATTCCTGCATAACATAAAAGATTCTACTCGCTAGGGGCTTCTCTCAGCTATACACTCAGGTTGTAAATACCTGGGATTTTGGACCTCAGCACTGTCTTGAATGTGAACACTACCATTCACCCAACATCTTGTAACCGTGTCTTAAAGGGAAAGATCAACAGTGATGGGTAAACTGAATTTCATTAGTGTCCCCCATTAACGATCTTTTCAATGAGGAATCACTAATAATCTTCCAAGTAGCCCCACATTTTCCCAGAACACAGTATGAAATCATACTTTTTCATTACATATAAATATTTATGTGCTTTCAAATGGATGCTTTCTTTAGCTCAGTACTATTTAAAAGCTGCCGCCATAAGTTTTAAAGGCATAAATTCGCAATGTCACACAATCTCCATCAGTGCAATAAATACAGAACTGGCAGGCACAGACTATTGACACAATGCAGCTACTACTATCCGATCATCACCACAGGGCTTTCACTGGGAAAATACTCTTCAAGAAACAGGAAGAAGTTCTCAAGGCATAAGAACTGTGGGCCTTTTTCCTTTTCTTTTAAAGAACTTCTCTTTTAGCATACCTTGTTTCATACTTTGGCATGAATTTACAGTGTTTAAAATGCCATGCAAAATTGCACCTTTCATTACACCGGGCTTACCTAAACTCTACTGAAAACAGGAAAAAAGGAGGGGGAGGTCTTAAACCAAACTGAATAGAATTAAGAATGTAAAGGTGAAGAAGATCTGAATGTATAGGCCCAATAATTCTGTTAGTCAAAGTAAAAACATTCAATATCGACAGATATACAAAAATATACATATATTTATTAAAACGTAATTAAAAAAAACCCCAGAGATATTGGCCCTGGTGATAGCCTCAATTAAGAATCAAATGTACAGTGACAACCAAAAATGACCATTACTGACCCTGACCACATGCGTTTCAGCCCACTGATCTTCCTCAGTGTTCAAACAAATGATGTTACAGAATGGCTCCTGACATTACAGTGCAAGAATAATTTCTTATAAATTGACCAAGATGAAATTTTTTAATGAATACCGTCTGTGACCAAAGGCAAAGGTATTCACCAGAGGCCTCAGTCTTGATGGTCTGCTGCCACGCTCAGGTACACTTTCCTGTATTTGTAGTTCAATGGTGTACCTTTCCCGCTTGGTCAGAAAAATTCGATGCATCCAGGAGCCAATAGTGATGTTATAATCAATAATAAGAGTCAATAAATTTAGGTTGACCCTGCTTAGCTTCTGAGATCTGACAGGATCGGGCTAGCCTGGGTGGGTGTTGCACGAGCCCCCCAACCCCAAACCCTTCACTCTCTTCCGCTGAGGCGCCCGCCCTCTCCACCCTGACCGAGTATAGTTCTGCAGTTGGGGAGGCTTAAGGTCTCAGTCCTTGGGTATGGTGGGGGTTCCATCACCTCCCGCTGGCAACCCACTCTTGGGGTGTCAGCCACTCCCTTCGCTGTCTCTGGGGCCTTCCGTAGCTGCTTTCCCAACACCCACCCCACCTCCCTGCTCCTGCCCCTCACTCCCCGGCTCTGATCCCCTTCTTACTTCAAGACACCGCCCATGCTGCATGGGCAGCGTCCCACCCGCCAATTTGCTGCTTCCGCCCCCAGGGCTTGGGCCAGGCCCTGCGTTTCTGAGCAGCTGGGGGCCATGGCTGTGGGAGCAGGTCCACGCCCCGCATTCTAGTGCTTTCCTGCCCGGCTGCCTCGCTGTCAGCTATGCTGCCATAAGGTTAAGGAGCCCCTACTGGACCCCCTTCCCTCCTGTGTACCAGCCTGAGCTGCATTCCTTTCCCTGCGCTTATCTCTGACCTTGTAGGCTGCAGATGTAGTGTCTCCACATAACTCATCCGTGAGACTGCTTTCGGTTCCCAGCTTTTAGTGTTAACGGCCCAGGTACTTGTTCCCACTCGCGGGAGTCAGGCCAATTGGCCCGTAGCTTTTGAATCTACTATATCTCTCCCTGAGTCTAGGGGTTTGCTATTCCTAACAGTGACTATGGTCATGCTACCATTGTACTGGCAATAAAAGTATAACCTTTGAAGAAGCGTGTACTCAGTTGCTTGACGGTGGGTCCTGACACTTGCATCCTGGGGAGTCGCACTGGCAGCCACAGTTGTTGCCTCGGTGCGCGGTGGTCATGGGTCGACCTGCAGTCAGTCCAGGCTCAGCTCAGTCTTCTGCTCTTGCTGGCCCCCTCTGCTGGCTGCATAAGTACTTCAGTGGGGCCCGGGGGATCTTTGGGGTTGGCTCCTCGTCCCACCGTATACCCCATGAGCCCTGCAGCTGGGACACCGGACTATCCAGGCCAGGGCACCCCTACTCCCTTACACTACAAAAGGACTACACATAAGTTTGGCTGTTTGCTTCTTCACTGTCAGTGAAGGATGGGGGTGGGAGCTGGTCCATGTTTACCCCTTAGGATCATGTACTTTTCTCTAGGTGAGTGATGGGCCAGTGCGGATGCTGGCAGTGTTAACCTGCACATTCTCCATCTTTTTAATTTGCTTTCAGGATCCCAAATATAGGGTTCCCTCCTCGAAAATCAAGCACAGGGAAAGATAATATCCTCACTTCAGCTCACAGGGAAAGGGGTTGCCAACCCCAGCCATCGATTTGCTGGCAGACACACAAATGCTTCCA